ATTTGTTCATTTTTGAAAAAGTTATGGCAGTTTTAAGTACAAAAAACATCCCGATAAAATGTAATTTTTATCGCAAACATTACATTTATATTTTTGAATATGGTAGCCATTTGCGCATAGAAGATAAGATGTCGGGACAAATTTTTTTTTTTCATTTGATAGTATATAACATAACCTTTGATTTGATATATGTTTAAAGGACGCAGTATTTCCGGAACATTTTCAAAAGTTCAGTTGAAAAAGATCTATGTTTTTTACAATTTTTCAAGTTTTGAACGCCCCCTATATAAAGGGAAATTGTCCAATTTTAATAAAAAGTATGTCAAATGAAAGATGTACATATAATGTATTTATAAAAAAAAAATAGTTGGGTCCAGATAGATTTAATCTGACAGTGATTAAAATCACTATCATAAGAAACGCTTCGATGCAAATCTGTAGATAGTGTTTAATTTTAAAAAATTGATGGATAATTGCAAAAGCAACATCAACTTCTATTAAAATAAAATACAAAACCCATAATTTGAATACAAAAATAGCATATTTTTGAATACGGCAGCCATTTGCGTATAAAAGATAGGTCGTCGGGACAAATTTTTTTTTTTCATTTTGTAGTACATAAAATAAGCTTTAATTTTATATATGTTTGAAGGACGCAGTATTTCCGGAACATTTTCAAAAATTAAGTTGAAAAAGTTAAATTTTGTAAAAAAGTTACTATTTTAAATCCTCCCAGTGAGCAGAATAAGTGTTAGATTTTCAAAAAAATGATACCAAATGAAAGGTAAATATCTAAGGTTTTAGTATAAAAAAAAATTATGTTGATTTGTTGATTTTTCAAAAAGTTATGGAAGTTTTAAGAAAAAAAAGTGAAAAAATTTCGAAAATTAGCGATTTTTAAATTTGTAATTTTTTTGGATATTTCCCCCATTTACGGGGAACGAGGGGAAATTTTTAAATTTTTAAGGGTAATGTCTTCAACTAGATACGATTTGTGATCTTTTGACGTATTTTTGAAAGAAATCGGTCCAGTGAGAGCTGAGAAAAAGTGGCAACAGACATAAAAAAAAAAAAAAA